AAAGACTTGGCAGACGATGCACCATCCCCCCAATAAAAGCAGGGGTCACTAGCACATTAAGAGACCATACAATAAGTGTCAGGGGCCCGAGACTGTTCAATTGCCTCCCAGCACACATAAGGGGGATTACCAACAGACACCTGACAGTCTTCAAGCTGGCACTGGACAAGCACCTAAAGTCAGTTCCTGATCAGCCGGGCTGTGGCTCGTACGTTGGTTTGCGTGCAGCCAGCAGCAACAGCCTGGTTGATCAGGGGCTGATCCACCAGGCGGCCTGGTCACAGACCGGGCCGCGGGGGCGTTGACCCCCGAAACTCTCTCCAGGTAAACTCCAGGTAGGTGTTCCATGTATAAGTTGGCTAGGACGGCACTTATTGGGGACCCCATTCCCATGCCGTAGGTTTGTTTGTAGAGCTTGTTATTGAAAGAAAAACAGTTGAAGTTAACACAGAGTTCAATCAAGTCAACAAAATCTCCGGGAGGTAAAGGAAGATTAAGGTCCTGGTTGACTTTACGTCGTAGAACCTCGATGGCTTTTTTGGTAGGTACTTTTGTGAAGAGGGAAGTCACATCCAAACTGCTTAGTTTCTTGTTACGGATGGAGAGGTTACGGATGCGGTTGAGATTTCAAGTTTATCGGAAACCCACCAATAAAAATGATCTCACACACTTCTATTCCAGTCAAGATACCAAGACCAAAAGAGGCATCATCATCGGGTTTTTCCTAAGAGCATACCGAATTTGTAGTCCTGAGTTTCTTGACGAGGAATGTACTTACATTCACCAAACATTCACTGAGTTACAATTTCCTTCTTTTTTCATCAAAGACTGCAAGAAAAGAGCTCTTCAGATCATCAATTCTCCACGCATCAACACCGCTCCCAACAAAGTTATAATTCTTCCCAACAGCCAGGTTGCACTAAACGTCTCAAAAGTACTTTCACAAGCTAACACCAGAGTCGCCATCGCTTCTACCACTTCAATAAAGGATCTAACCAGGACAAAACCCAAGCACCACGAACCAGTCAATGCAGGAGTTTACAATACCCTGTGGAGGCTGTGACAAGATCTACGTAGGTGAAACAGCAAGAAACCTCGACACCCGCCTCAATGAACACATTTACGCATGTAGAACGACAACTTAAACAACGCCTGTGTACAACACCGAAATTCCACCAATCATCTCATGAAATTCAGAGACGCCCAATTAGTGATCAAAGAAACTAATTTCCGCACACGCAAGTGCCTGAAAACAGCACTGATCGCTGTTTCGAATACAATTAAACAAAACAACGGCAGCTTCAACCATCTCCGAAGTCTTAGCAAGAATCCTCCTGAAAACAGTAAACCCTGCCATCACATAGTCTCTCCTGTTATACTACACAAGCACATTACAGAGAGTGAACACCGAAAAAACCTGCCTCTTTCCAGTCTATATTTGTCCAACCTATTTTTATGTTACCCAAGTAATAGCTTTTATATCCTTTTACTCATGTACGAATTATTTGCTCTTCCATATTGTATTATTTTTGTTACTACTACTACTACTACTACTACTACTACTACCACTAGTGAACATCGAAATGGTACCTCACTAGTATTGCACCTCACTCAGAGCCTTTATATACCCTCTGTGTCCATGTATTGTTTGTAATGGCTTGATAAAGCTCCTGGAGAGCGAAACGTTGCCACAATAAATGTCACATTAGTTGCACTTGTGTCCTTTTACTTTACAGAAACCTGGGAGGTGGCAGAAGAGGGAGAAACTTGGGAGGGGACAGGGGTGGAAGGCATAGTACGAGGAGGAGGGTGAACCTCCACACTTTTAATAGAGCCAGAGAGAGGGGAAGAACTAGGCACGGAGACTGGAAAGGTAAAATGCGGAGGTGGAAGAAGGGAAGGAGGGGGCAAAGAAGATTTGAGCAATGGGGATTTTTTGGACTTCTGAGAAGTAGATGGGCGATTGGTATAAGGTGTCGTACGAGGTCTTGTCGATACCGGGGCTTGTGAGGAAGGACGCGAAGACGTGAGAACAGACTGAGTTGTAGTCAAGACGTCAGAGCCAAGGACAGCAAAAGGATTAGATACTGGAGTGGCTATGGGAGGGGTAACAACAAAAGAGGCTGCAGAAGATGGGACCCCAGAAGTGGGGGGATGTTTTGAAACACGAGAATGAGAAACAAGGGGTAGTCTCCCTTGGAGGCGGAGATGAGAAACTGCCATAGCATAAGGGAGACCTTCTGCCTCTTTGAGGCAATGGATTTTGCGCTCATTTAAGTAGACCTGGGAACGGCGAGAGTACAAAGGGTGAGCCTCATTACAATTAAGGCAAGATGGAGGTTGACTGCAAGACGTATTAGAATGGTCGTCGGCACCACAGACTGGGCATTCGGCTATAGATCTGCAATATTTCGCTGGGTGACCAAAACGCCAGCAATTTCTACACTGTTGTGGTGTAGGGATCACCTTTCGAACTTGTAACCGATGTCCCGCGACATAAACAGAGGACGGGAGTTCACGGCTTTCGACAGTTAATCGAGGTACATTGCAAGGGTATCATCTCTGCCCGCGGGCAGGAAGGACATAAGTGTCTACTTTGAGGATTGGGAGATCCTGGAGTTCCAGCTGTTCAAGAATGTCAATGCCACATGACTGGAAATTCTGTTGGACTATGGTATGGGCAGAATGACAGTACCACTACAAGAATTGAGAGAAAGATGTTTTTCAATAGTGATAGGAGTAGTATCGATATGCGAAAGGAGAGAAAGATCATGAGCGTGGGTAGCATTCTGGACAGTGACGATGCGCGTACCACTCTTGAGAGCATGAAATGAAACATCTCTACCAACATGGTGCAGGAGCGCTTTGCCAATACTATAGTCAGAAAGATAGGCAGAAGAAGTCGGTCTTAAAGTAAAGAATTTAGTCCATTGTGTGGTCCGAAACTGAGCGTGGAGAGGGAGTGCATGATGTGTCGGTCTTTTCCAAGTAGAATGGGAAGGTAACAAACTAACATCATCAGGAGATTGTCGTTGGCATTTAGGAGTAGGACCGGAGTTGGTCCGACGTCAAACGGGCTGGCGATTCGAAAATTGCTGTACCGTAGAGGGAGAGGCCAGAATCATAGTCAAAGGAGAGCGGAGGTCAGACAAATCAAAGGAGTCAGTGGAAGCCCCGGTACCTGAAGCGGGTGAGGAAACTTCACCAGCAAGAGGTACAGGGGCATCAGGAGTGTCCGAAGAGTGGTCAAAAAACAAGGCAGGGTCAGAATGGGGTGCGGTATCAAGAAGGGGCCCAGGGGTAGTAGGTTCATGGACTGGGTTCTCCATGGTTAGGTTACTCCTTTGCGTTTTGTTTTTAAGAAAAAAAAAAAGAAAAGAATATAAAAATAAAAAAAGAATAAAAAAAGGGGGAGCGGGGATAAATAGTTCCCAGGAGGAATGAAAGGGCCGGAAATCTCCCTCTGCACAAAAGGAGGACCTCAGCACCGCTAGTAGCGCAGATGCAGCATGGAAACCGTGCCATACCCTACCCTTCATGCCAGTAAACCAGCAATCCAGGATAGCAACCTCACATCTGCCGAGCTACCTCGGTGGACAAAAGAGAGGGCTGCCGGATATCCGCCACAAAGCATACCTCCTTCGGCCACCACCTTCGGAATCTGAAAGGTGGCTTCCAGAGATACACCCGTCGCCCGAAAGACACCCAAAGCCACACTCCAGGATACCGGAGAGGGATTGGGACATCCCCAGGCGATCCAGATTCCACGGCAAACTACACCACCGCCAAGAACCTCAACGGAATGGGATGGACCCCGGTACCCTTTCCCCTACCTAGGAATTAGCGTGCCTGTGGGAAAAATCCCAAAGGCCAAAAAGAGGAAGGGCAAAAGGAAGGGATGTGGAGGAGGAGGAAAGGAAAAGGGGAGGATGGGACAGGGAAGGGGGGATTGGGGGGCAATTAGGTTCGGTCTGAGGAAGGAGACCAACAGGTCTAATTCCTAAGACCAAGAGCCTCTTCACCATGACAAGGAGGCCCCTTTGAAGAGGACAGAAACAGAGATGATTTTGATTAGTTTTACGATGAAAACGACCTTGAAATTGAGCTCAAAGTTGTGGAAATGTTTGATTTTTACCAATGTTCAGGAGTAAGCAAATCACACCACACGTCCAATACACATCAACTAGGGAGTCTAATATTCTTTCACTAGTGCACTGATATTATTTATACCATTTTTACAACAATGCAGTAGTCTGCATAACAGTAAATTTTGTATTTTTTGTATGAATAAAAAATCAAAATAGAAGGCAAAAGTAATATAAGAGGGGCCTAGAGATGTGACTAATGAACAGAGGATATGTTATTTTAGTGCCAGGAATGTCTGCATTGTTCATTCTGGACCCTATTTTGAAATTGGCATCTTTTTTAATTTGTGTGAAATTGGCCAAACTGCCAATTTCTGACCACTTTATTGGGTAGTTCAAATCGGTAAATGGGCGGTTTCTTGTACTCAACTGATAGAAAAAATGGAGTTCTAAAGAAGTAGCTATGAGTTTGGTCAACTGGAACAACAGAATTGGCCAGAAACAGGGCTCAAAGTTGGCGAAAACGCCGATGCATATATGACACCGAGACCGCTAACTTCGTGGGAGCATAATTCCGTAAGTTTTCGACCAAATTTCGTACTTTTGGTGTCATTACCATCGGGAAAAGATTCTCTATCATTTCATAAGAAAAATAATTTTTTTTTCCCCAAAAATTTTGTGACATAGAATGACAGTTTCAGAAAGGGGCTTGCGACAGCCAAAGGGTTAATAGCAAGAAAATCTTTATTACATATAGATGGCTTAACTGCATATAAGAATTCCAGGTGTAGCCCAACCCTCTCAGAGAAAGTTTCAAGAAGAAAGTAATAGGTGCCAAATTATGTAGTTAGTTTTTATTTAAAAGTAAGAGATATGAAGTATAATAATACTAATAATAAATAATTTTCCTTCCAGCCTTAGAACGACAACAGAGTTTACTGGTTGGAAGACAACTACAGCAAAAACACCAGCTGGACATGTTCCTCAGGCAACAAAGAAAACTGCTGGAACAGCATCTAACACAACAACCACATCTACCACTACCACCACCACCACTACCACTACAACTACAACTACTACTACCACAACCACTTCTCGGCCAACAACTCCTGGTAGGAAAATTTCATGAAAGGAAATTTATTTACAGTATTTCAATTTTTTTTTATGATATGAGAATAAGCAGGATGTTATTATTAACATTAAGAAACTAAATGGAAAAATTTTGTGGGACAAAAAGAAAATGGAATTGTTTGTTTACACAATTTAATTTACAGAATAAGAACTGCTGTCTTACCAAAACTCATATCAATTCCAAGCCCTATCTATTTTTAATGTATACTACCCACCTCCTCCAGCATGAAACCCACAGTCAACTAACATCCAGGTATCAGCTTACTGCTAGGTGAACAGGGGACATGCATCTCACTCTGCATGGTGATCAATCTTGAATTGTCAGCCATGGGCTCTACTATTGAAGTTACAAAAATTAGGAAGAGAACTGTGGAATTGAGAGACTAATGAGTGGTAGGAAGATATAAGAAATAAGAACATAAGAAAGGAGGAACGCTGCAGGAGGCCTGCTGGCCCATACTAGGCAGGTCCTTTACAATTCATCCCACTAACAAAACATTTGCCCAACCCAATTTTCAATGCCACCCAAGAAATAAGCTCTGATGTGAAAGTCCCACTCAAATCCAACTCCTCCCACTCATGTACTTATCCAACCTAGATTTGAAACTACCCAAAGTCCCAGCCTCAATAACCCAACTAGGTAGACTGTTCCACTCATCAACTACCCTATTTCCAAACCAATACTTTCCTATGTCCTTTCTAAATCTAAACTTATCTAATTTAAATCCATTACTGCGGGTTCTCTCTTGGAGAGACATCCTCAAGACCTTATTAATATCCTCTTTATTAATGCCTATCTTCCACTTATACACTTCGATCAGGTCTCCCCTCATTCTTCGTCTAACAAGTGAATGTAACTTAAGAGTCTTCAATCTTTCTTCATAAGGAAGATTTCTAATGCTATGTATTAATTTAGTCATCCTACGCTGAATGTTTTCTAACGAATTTATGTCCATTTTGTAATACGGAGACCAGAACTGAGCTGCATAATCTAGGTGAGGCCTTACTAATGATGTATAAAGCTGCAGTATGACCTCTGGACTTCTGTTGCTTACACTTCTTGATATAAATCCCAGTAATCTATTTGCCTTATTACGTACGCTTAGGCACTGCTGTCTTGGTTTAAGGTTGCTGCTCACCATAACCCCCAAGTCCTTTTCGCAATCTGTATGGCTCAGTTCTACATCATTTAACTTATAAGTACTAGGGTTATGGGCACTCCCAAGCTTCAGAACCTTGCATTTATCTACATTGAACTGCATCTGCCACTTTTCTGACCAAGAATAGAGTTTGTTTAAATCCTCCTGAAGTTCCATAACATCTACGTTTGAATCAATTATCCTACCTATCTTTGTGTCATCGGCGAATTTGCTCATATCACTAGTAATTCCCTCATCAAGATCATTGATATATATTATAAACAACAACGGGCCCAAGACTGATCCCTGTGGAACGCCACTTGTTACAGATCCTCACTCGGACTTAACCCCATTTATGGACACTCTCAGCATGAAATGTCTGTATAGTCCTTGTGGCTTAGCGCTTCTTTTTTGATTATAATAATCAGCATGAATGAATAGGTATAAAAATGGTTACAAAGAAAAATGTGGACAGGGAAGCAAAAATTCAGTGATTTTAGAAAAAAAATTGAGGGAGAAGAGTGAAAATTTTAAATTTTTAGATAAAAATGTAAATAAAATGGTAAAATTACAAATCGGTTAAAGGCATAAGAAAACAATAAATTAAAATGTTTAAGCATTTTGGAATGAAGTAAATAATTTGCAGAAAAGGTGTGTCCTTTAATAAATAATTTTGAAAATGTTACAGTAAGTGAGAAAGATTTTCAGAATTTTTGGATGAAGGGAGTGTTTTAAATACTAATGTATTAGAGGTGATGAGATGACAAATGATAGAGGCAGTGAAACGTTAAGGCTAGAAATGGAAAGAGATCAGAATAGATGTGTAGAATTCTTTGTAAAAAGAGATGAAAATAAGATACTTTTTTGTTGACTGAAAGATACATCTCTGCCTTGAGGGGCTCAGTTTACATTATATCACACCTAGTTTGCCTCTCCTATCATTGTACAATCTAATAGTCAGGGGCAGCTCGAGAAGTTTTATACAGTATAGGAGGGGGCTCAGGGGAGGCAATCTGGTTGGAAGAAGGGACTAAGGGACTTGTTATTATTATTTTTATTTGGGGAGCTGATCAAAATTTTGAGGAACTTCAGCCCCCATGGTGCTATCCCTTGTTCAATTTCTACATTGTGTGCCAAATCAACTCCATTTTCCCTTGCTCATTCATCATTATTGTTGTGTGTGAGGTGCCAGATAGGGTATGTGCATTTAACCAGGTCCAATTACTACTAGAACTGCACAGTGGGGGAGGGGACAAAACTCAGTGCCCTCCAGGGTCCCCAATGCAGAAAATCTGGCACTGCTAGATGTGGTGGATGGAAAGGAGGAAGGGGGAGGGAGGGCTCCTGAATGAGGGGAAACAGAGTCAAGGAAGTTGAAAATGTGGATGGTCTCAGTTATTAAGCACTAACTGAAATTGCACAGCTGGCCACTGAGGTGTCCATTCTGAGAGCTGTTGAGAGGATTTATAGCTGGAATATCTCCTTTAGTAGACAGGAGATCAATGAAGAAACCATATAAGTGGGAAGAGGAGCAAGCAAGAGGGAAGGTGGTATCTTGACCCCACAAACTGAGGAAGACAATTGTCAGTACAAGCTCACAGTGACAAGTAGCCCATGATAAGACAGCAAACAAGAATGAATGAGAAGGGATCTGTTCAGATGTGCCCCAGCAGCAAGAGGCTGGCCCTGGTGAGACAGTATCAGGATCACCTCAGAAGCCTAGGCAGAGATGACCCTAGGTTGGCAGTCAAAAGAAAGAAAAGGGAGAGAGAGAGAGAGAGAGAGAGAGAGAAGAGAGAGAGAGAGAGAGAGAGAGAGAGAGAGGAGAGAGAGAAGAGAGAGAGAGAGAGAGAGAGAGAGAGAGAAAGAAGAGAAGAGAAGAAAGAGAAGAGAGAGAGAGAAGAGAAGAGAGAGAGAGAAGAGAGAGAAGAGAGAGAGAGAGAGAAAGAAGAGAAAAAAGAAGAGAGAAAGGAGAAGAAAGAGAAAGAAAGAAAGAAAAGAAAGAAAGAGAAAGAAAGAGAAAGAAAGAGAAAGAAAGAGAAAGAAAGAAAGAAAAGAGAAAGAGAAAGAAGAGAAAGAAAGAGAAAGAAAGAGAAAGAAAGAGAGAGAGAGAAAGAAAGAAAGAAAGAGAAAGAAAGAGAAAGAAAGAAAAAGAAAGAAAAAAAAGAGAGAGAGAGAGAGAAGAGAGAAGAGAGTGAGAAGAGAGAGAAGAAGAGAAGAGAAAGTGAGAAAGAGAGTGAGAAGAAAGAAAAAGAAAGAGAAAGAGAAAGAGAGAAAGAGAAAGAAAGAGAAAGAGAGAGAGAGAGAGAGAGAGAGAGAAAGAGAAAGAAAAAGAAAGAGAGAGAAAGAGAGAGAGGAACTGGAGCTTTATAGAAGGAGTCTATAATGGCTGATGAGAGGAACAGCCATAGATAACCTCTCTAGGATCAGGCACATGCACTGTTCCATAGCTCGATACCTCTCACAAGATGAACAGATGAGCACTGCCCATCTACAACAACCTCTGAAGCAACAAAAACAAATGGTTGCGAATCAGCACATCTTGATTGCCACCTTGAAGGAGGCAATCACACCCCAAGGATGAAATTTTAATTGAGACACTAACCCAGATGATTCCAATACCAAGGAGCTAAGGTGTTCCATAGCTTGGTTGGCAATGCTCTCACCTCACATACTGAATATCCATGGTTCAGTCCCCAGCATGGGTGGAAATGTTGGGTATGTTTCTTACACCTGCTGTCTCTATTCACCTAGCAGTAATTAGGTACCTTGGTGTCAGTCTACTAGTGTAGTTTTTATTCTGGGGAACAAAATGAAGGACCTCAATGGAAATAATACAGATAGTACTTGATTATGCACCAACTTTCTTGGGTTATCCATTCAGGTTATCCTGAATGGATAACCCTCCTGGTTAAAAATCTGAACAAGTCCTATCTTATTATATGTATCTTAAGGATCTGGAACAAAGCCACAGGAAATCAGAGAATGGCATTGAGGGTATGTAGAAATCCCTTAAAATATTCCAAGGCACAGGAGCCATTTTCTTTTTATCACCCCCAATACAAGGGTTGTCCCTGGATGATCCTGGAGGGACAATGGAAGAGCTGCCTTTCCCAAACTCTTAAGGATAATCCCCATTTAGTTGTAAGCCCAACACTTTAAAGTATGAAAATGTCAGAGGTCCTTTGAGCACAGCAAATATCACAAGTTCTTTGAGCACTGGGCTATCCAGAACCCTAGAGCAGAAAAACTATGCCACATCTAAAAATTGAAAAGCAGTTAATGTTTGCGATGAAGCAGTATCTTCTCTCAACAAACCGGCCATATCCCACCAAAGCAGGGTAGCCCAAAAAAGAAAAACAAAATTTTCTCTTTTTAACTTTAGTAATGTATACAGGAGAAGGGGTTACTAGCCCCTTGCTCCCAGCATTTTAGTTACCTCTTACGACATGCATGGCTTATGGAGAAAGAATTCTGTTCCACTTTCCCATGGAGTTAAGAGGAAATAAACAAGAACTAGCAGGAGAATAGAAGAAAACCCAAAAGGGTGTGTATATATATATATATGCTTGTACATGCATGTGTAGTGTGATCTAAGCGTAAGTAGAAATAGCAAGACGTACCTGAAATCTCGCATGTTTATGAGACAAAAATGACACCAGCAATCCTACCATCATGTAAAACAATTACAGGCTTCCATTTTACACTCGCCTTGCATTACGGTAATAGCATCCTGGGCGATTGCTGTCTACCAACCTACTACCTAGGATGAAGAAGGATATACGTAAATAAAAAAAAGGGGCAAATAGTTGGGTGGATATAAAAAATTACAGTATTTGCAG